ATTTGTTGGTCACTTGACTTTTGGGTTCAAATGGTTGTTTTAATTTTAAATTAGGGCAAACTTAATAAATTAGCATTTAATAATTTTTAACTTCAAAAGAATTGTAATTAAAAAAAAAAAGTGCGCCTAGGTCAACAACTGTCGTTGACCATGCTAACCCATTAGGTTTGGCGTTTTGGCCTCGCATCACGTCTAGACGCGTCTTTTAGAACACTGATCTTGTCAATGGGGGCCTCAATTAGGTAAAATAGATGCTAGAATTTCATCCCAGAAAGAGTTTGAGTTGAATAAGAAAACCAACCCATCAACTAGATTTTTTTCCCATGCGAGTGCTTAGGGTAGCACCTCGCACAAGTGTCTCTATGTTGATTTGGTTTTTTACCAAGTCTTGGGGGGCATGCACACCCTTGCGCGCGTGAGAGATTATATTTTGTCAAATTTTCAATTTGGTCCATGAACTTTTCATAATATGCATGTTGGTCCTCTTTCGTTCTTTTTCGGTACATTGCCTTTATTTTGTATCCAATTAACTCCTAACACTCTCTAATCTTTGATATGCATCTCAAATCATCTTTTTAAAGTTTACAATTTAGTTCTCAAAATTTGAATTAAGTCCATTTTAGCCCATTTTCCGCTCATTTTGTCCAATTCTATCATTTTGCATTGAATTTCTCCTAAAAAACGAAATATATATAGAACTAAGCTATAATTCATCAAAATTAATAATAATTCATCAAATATAGCAGTCCAGATAAGTGTACGAAATACACTTATTAATAAAAAAAAATCAATATCTAACCAATAAAATTGGAATTTACCAACCTTTATTAAATTTTCAAAAGACTTAGATAACTTTTAAAATATATCAAGGGTAATACATATGTGCCTATATTTGAGGGATTATACTGTGGAAGAACTTTAGTTTCACTACACATTGAGTCACAATATCCCCAACGAAATATAATATGATGTCTATGTGTTTAGTACGCTTGTGAAACACACGATTCTTGAATAAATGTATTGTGGAACGACTATTTGAATACAAAACATATTGTGTCACAACATCACTAATGAAATGTAATATGGTGTCTATGTGTTTAATATGTTTGTGAAACACAGGATTCTTAAATAAATGTATTGTGGATTGACTATTTGATTACACAACCACCTCATTGTTTAAAATACACAGTTCTTCAAAGCAAACCCTGAAGCTACAAAGACTCTTTGATTACTTCTATGGTAGCAATATATTCAGACTCAGAATAGACAATGCAACTATATTTGGAAGTCAAGACTTCCAACTTATATAAAAACTATACAAAGTAAACATATAGAATGAAGTAGACTTTCTATTATTCCTGACTCCAACATAGTCCTCATTTATGAACCCTTTCAATCTCACATCCTAGATACTAAACCTACATTGCTCGATCCTTTTAAATATCTAAGTAATCACTTCAGGACTTCATAATGATTAGGTCCTAAATTAGACATAAACCTACTAAATGCACTCATAGCAAATGCATTATCAAGCCTAATACACACCATCAAATACATAACACAACCTATCACATCCGAATATGGTTATGAACTCATGCATCATCATCATCATCATTATCATGCATGCTAAACATTTTAAAACTTTTAACACAAAGAGCTTGATGTAAATGGAAGCAAGAATTTGACTTATATATTTCTATTCCTATATCTAGGATTCTCTTTGCCTTTGCTAAGTCTTTCATGTATGTTCTCCATTTGATGTAGTTTTTATCTCATTTATCAAAGTCACAAAGAAACTAATCAGGAGCATATCATCAATATACAATAATAAGAACACAAGGTAATTATTAATTTCATTATGTTGATAATACAAACAACGATCAAAATTACTTATTTTGTATTGTTAATAAACCACCGGATTGAGATGTTGAAGTTATATGACAAATAATAATGAAATATATGATCAAAAAAAAGTATAATAAAGACAAGAATATGGTAGAGGAATTAAGAGATTTTATTGACTCAAGAATAATGGAGAAGAGAAAAATTACAATAGATGCATAATTCTAGTAATCTATCTTCTCACATTATAAAATTGTATAGAAGAGTCTAGTATTTATAGGAAATAAGTAGGATACTATAAAATTGAGTCCAAAACAAATTTCAACTCATAATGAGGTTCTAAAATAAAATTTCAACATGACATAAGACTCCAATAATATTCCAAATTTGAATTCTTCATGACGTCCGCTTCAATTAGAATTCTTCAATAAGAGATTTGGGTCACACCCAAATTCTAATAATCTCCACCTTGATACGAATTTCACCAAAAAATAAACTGACTTCTTCAACAATAATCAAAAAATTAATTTCTCCAACCAAATACAAAATACTGGTGCAGAATCAATAGCAAATGCTTTTACAGAAGGCTCCTTGCTAGATTGTAAAACTTCTACTCCACTTGAAGCATACTAAACAAAATCAGCATCCACATACCCTAGCAATTGAATACAATGGCACCGCAGGTGATGGTGGCAAAACGGTATTATCCATATTTTCTGAACTCCATTGAACTGTATTATTCAAATCCGACCATTTATGAGCTCCTAAAGGTATTGTACCAAACTGAATGTCCACCACGGTCCTGAACTTGTGCTGATTGACTCTTCTAAATTCTGCACGACCCTACAAGATGTATAACCAAGACTTTTTCTATCNTGAACTGTATTATTCAAATCCGACC